TATATATATTTATTTATTTATTTATTTATTTATTTATTTATTTATTTAAATAAATAAATAAATAAATATTTATTTATTTAAATATTGAATTACCCAACTATACCACAATGTAGCTCTTGGACTTCAACTTTTGGGTCTTTATATCTTGTACTTTTCTCGAACTATTTTATCTAATAAAACCGATATCAGCAAATAGAAATGATGGATTTAATTACTGCAGTGGACTCAACTTTAAGTTGCATTTTAATTCAGGTGGTACTTGAATTAAATGTAAATTAAATTTAAGATCATTAATTAATCAAGCTGTTTTTGAAATTATTGTAATAAATCTACAATTTGTTTGCAGGCTTTCAACACATTTATAGACGATATGTTTGCTTTCATTATTACTATGCCAACATCACATCGCGTTGCTTGTTTTCGAGATGATGTAGTTTTTATCATTTATCTTTATCAGCGATATTTATATCCAGTCGATAAATCACGTATCAATGAATTTGGTGAAAGTTTTGAAGAAAATGGTATCAAGGACTCAAGAATGACTGCTAAATCTCCCGCAATATCCAAGCTTTCATCAGCACAATGTGAAACGAATGATTGACTTGATTTATTTTAGTGAAGTTTCATCTGATTTAAAAATAATTTAATTTTTCTTATTTTCCATGCATGTAATGTATGAACTTCGACATCTTAGGCTATATATATATGAACTACTTTCATTTTTTTTCCTGAAATTTTAATAAGCATCAGCATTTCATTATTTATTTATTTTTTTGTTTCACTCGCGTACTACCAAATTAACAGCCTTTTTAAAACATTAAATATGCCCTTAATAAATTTTTATGCCAATTGAAATCGTTTTCTAAATATAATGAAGGTGTTCTTACCTCCTGTGAAGATTCATAGCTAAATACGAAAGTAATATTTAACTAATTTTGTTTAATTTATAAACATTTAATGGTGACTAGTTTCATCTTCATTTAATGCCAAATATCACTATAAGTACTGGTAAAAAGTCTTAATAATGGTGACTAGTTTCATCTTCATTTCGGTAGGGATGAATAATAATATATTTTTGATGTGGCAAACTTCGAAGTACCTCATAAGCAGTTTGAATGTGAATGACAAGAAATTTGAATTTTTCTACCGTATTGGTTTCTTATATTTCATGTTTTTATGCTCTACTACAGTTTCACGCATGTAAGCATGAGGACATGTAAATTTTTTCAGTTATTATCCAAAAGTAATTAGTAATCCTACATTTCATCGAAATGCTATCTTGTTTACTTATTTTCAAAACTATGAATCGTGTCAAGAGGGAATTTCATTATTGGTTGTTGAATACGAAGTAGAAACCATTTATAGTTGTAATTAAGACTTGTTACCAGTACTTATAGTGATATTTGGCATTAAATGAAGATGAAACTAGTCACCATTATTATTAATTTGTGTAATTAAATATACTTTTGTTGTTTTGTCGTATATTTAATGAAGGCAACTTTGAGATCAATATGCCTGATGGGTAGAGAGGAGTTTTTGTTTCATTTCTGCACTGCATTATTGAAATCAGTTTCTTATCCAATTTCTCAAAATTTCATTGGTTTTTTCTATTTTATTTTTTTTTAATTACGGGATTTTATTCGTTGTGGGATGTTTTCTGGTTATTGCATTTTCGTGTATTATTTCACATTTTTTTGCAAGCAAAGAAAATTGAATTCAAATTGTTTTGGAATTAAACTGAGACAAGCAATAAACCAATTCATTCTCAGTTTTTCTAAACGCTGTCAGAATGTTAGATTGGAATTTTGGTTTCAAGCACAAATATGAAACCAAAATTTTTACATTTTTGGAGTATTCATTCATTCATTTGTCTGTTTGATTGTTTATCAGTGTGTTATCACCATGTCGTATTCGCGGTATTTATTTTCATTTATTCACGATAAAATAAGCAACGCAAAAGTATTTTCCAGCATTACATTTTCACTGTTTTAGAGCTCAATTTAAAGCATTGTTTATTGGAATGTAGCATTCTAATTTTAATTAACACTTCAAAAAAACTTGTAATTGGTATCAACTTACCGAAGGTTCAGTTACGTCTTATTTGTTGACAAAACTAAAATTCATGACGTTTTATCTTAACTATATAAAAATTACTATTTACAAACTACAATATAAAAAATGACTGTTTGAAATTCAATTTATTTTGGCTATCTTCTTCATGCATAATTTTTATCTAAGTTTTCCATGGATGTTAAAAATATGTGGGATAGAAATTTTGTTTGAAGACAAATACTATTATTTTAGTGGGAAGGCTGAGAAAGAAAGAGTCATATGGAAGCATTGGAATTTGTTTATTTTTTCAAATTCATTCGAATTTTACAGCTTGTCTGCATTTATACCATTGAAATCTTTAAAGTTTGGTAAAGTTATATGAAACGAGAAGTAAACCATGGCACTCTTCAGTGCAACAAATTAACTCTTCTTATAATTTTAAAGGTATTTTTGTCAGTAATTTTTATTCGTTAAGAAAGTAACTGAATGAACTGGTAGTGATAAAAACTTTTTTTTACAAGCCTACAATTTAATAAGTCTGTATCAGTTATTTAGTTAATTTTGCTGGAAGCAGGGATTCATGGGAATTCCCAGTAATTTAGTTTAGTTTCGAAAATGTGAAGCACATTCATACAGATGAAATATTTTCATTCTCTTCACACTACGAAAAAATTTTCATATTAAGAATTCAATTACATTAAATTTTTTTGTTGGCACATTAGAAGTATATGGATGCTGTCATTTCTTGCCGTTCATTAATTTCAAGAGTATTTGTCATAACAATTTCTTTTGTTTTGCTGCATATTCAGTCTGAAAAACGAAATACAATTAAAATACAGAAAAAAACTTAGCTGATGGCAACTTTCTTTAAGATTCATATATATGAAGCAATTCTATGAGTTTTCTGCTTATTTAAAAATCAATAATTTAAATTTAATTTATTCAAATATAATTTTTTGCTTCAAGAAATTTAAATTCTAAAAGCGGGTGGAATTGTTAATAGTTTGATTAGTGGATTAAATGTCCTGAAATATTTGACTGACCTTCAACTTCATACCTCTAAGTATATTTGCAGTAGTACTAGATTAGATGTAAGTGTGAAACTTCTATTCTTCCTAGAAGAACTAAAATATAGCAGTAGATTGGTTATGATTTGTGGTGATTAATGCTACTGCAGTAAAATACATGAACAACTTCATGGGGTCAATTTACAATGATCCATTGTAATGAGATCAGGTCAAATTGTTAAGATGTATTGTGATCCGATCAGTCATTGGACTTGAAGACTATTAATAAATTCAATAACTTTTTCATTAGTTAGTCAAGCTTTTGTAGTGAAAGATTTATATTTGTTGTCTTCGCAGATGATTCCATCACAGTGGATCATTACAATGATTTAATACTGCACTGTGTATGCACTTCAAGCTTCAAAATGCTTTTTTCATTATTAACTTAGAAAAGTTTGATTACTTTAATAATTCACTGCTACTGTTACTTTATCGTAATCAATCACGCGTAGTGATATCTTGTGATAGACTACATAAAAACGAGTAAATAAATCCTTTAGAGCTATAATTAACATTCAGAGAGAATTTTTGTAATCAAGAACAATAACTCGGTAGTTTAAGAATAATAATGAAGTAGTTCGTAATAAAAGATATTTGATCATGATGTGCTCTAGAAAGAAAGAATGGGACGCAGATCTCATGTCGGATTAATTAAGTTCTTTGGAAAATGAACTGAGCTAGGCTAAGCTGACTACTTTTCTTTTCCATTGAAAAAAATTTATTTCATTTGCTTTCATACAATTTTGTTCTCTCTAAATGACTAAGTGATTGAATGATTGAATGATTGGATGATTGAATGATTGGATGATTGAATGAATGTCATTTCTTTCACTCATCAACAAAATTAACCATTTCTGTGAATTCGTTGACTACTTTTGCTGCTATTAATTATTATGCTAAGTATTTGTAGATGAAAAATGCGATATTTATGAGGTACTAACTGATTTGATGTGCACAAAATTTTATCTTCATTCCAGTTTCATGCCAATTTATTTTTATAGCAGTGTAAATAGTTGAAGTAAGAGCAGTAATTATGCATAATAAATAGTTTAAATGCTAATTTATATTTGCATAAATTTTTTGCCAAAAGCTTGAATCATCGAGTATTAGGCAGGAAAATGAAACAAATTAAATTGGAAAATGTAAATAGTCAAAAGTTGTGAGATATAATAATACGTTGTTTTCAATGAGTGCTTTTATTAGTGCAAATGTGTTTCAACTTTTACAAAACAAGCGATAAAATAAAGTTTTATTGCTTAGTGCATTCAGTTCTTATATAATTTCATACTTCATAAATAATCTATGAATGCATAAAATTATAAATACATGAAAAAATACTGTTTAAAAACGGATATCTAGCAAAAAAGTATTTATCATTTAAAAGAATTTAAGATACTGATTAGTATAAGATTAAAATTAAATGATAGGTTGATAAATGATACTTCTTATCATAATTATTGGTGTACTGCAATTGCCTGGAACAAGCAAAATGTGTATTGCTTTGCGATTCAAATTTTTATTTGCATTGAGCTTTAAAAATTGAAGTAACTTATATTTATTTAATTTTAGCTGATATCATTAATAAATAGTTTCATACTTTTGAATTATATACTTTTATTTTAATATCTAACAAAGAAATAACAAAGTTAGATTTTGTTTGAAACAGTATAAAAATTAATATCCGTGCATAGCCCTCTTTGGATATTATGTAAGCACTAGTTATAAAATAATTCTTGCTACTATGAAATATTTTTAGGTTCATGTCGAGATTAAATTAATACTAAAAGCGTAAATACTCAAAAAAAAGCTTATGTAAACAATATGAATTTCTACGATGCAATGATTGAAATTTTAAAAAAAATAAGTAAATAAGTACAGCTTTTATGAATGCAATGAAGACTTGAATAAGTGAACAAATTTTTAAAAAATATATATTTTTTTTTAAAATTTTTACTGAAAAAAAATTACTTATAAAAAATGCAAAAATTTGAATACAAAATTAAATTAGTTCTGAAAAATGAGAAAGCTTCAAAAGAGAAAATATTTTTTATTCAAAAATTGAAGTAGAAAATGAAAATATTAAAATTCTAAATTTAACTGTGTTAAGCCTCGTTGTATATTGTTCATCTGTATCTTATTAGTTGTTTAGCTACACATGCCAATGAAATCAACAGTTCACAACTTTTTTGTATTGAAAACTTTTTACAAAATATTTACTTCTTATTTTTTAGTGCAAACTTTTTGTTAACTAATTTTTTTTTTTTGCATACTTTAATATTACAACAGTCATTAAAAACTTATTTTCATTCTTGCATGCATGTAATTTTCCATCTTAATACTAAGTTATTCATATAAATGAAAGTGAAAAATACTTTCAAATCAAATTATTAAAAATAATGCTATGTGTTTTTTACACATTTACAGACTCTCTACTTATAAGTAGTTTAAAATTTACAAATAATGAGTGCCATTAAAATGGATA